GGGAGTCATTAAATTTTTTTTAATGAATTTATATGAATTTATTTGGAGAATATACATAGGATGTTTTACATATAGTAAGGGGGAATTTATTGCTATTTGTGTTAATCTTTTTGCATGCCTTTTTTTTAAAGGGGAGATAGCATACTTTAAGGGGGAAGTATTTTATTTCCTAGAAGTGCATGATTTTAAGGGGAATGTGATTTGTTTTAATGTCTAGATTTTTTCTCTCCCCGGAATGCATGAGTTCTTTTGTTGCATTATTTTTGATAATGCCAAAAGGGGGAAGAGTATATGAGTATATGCCTTTTTTTGTTATTTGTTGATAGCATATCATCCATGTGTTTGTCATTATCAAAAAGGGGGAAATTGTTGGAATGTATGAGTTCAACCCTTTCTGTGTTGTTAAGTGTTGACTCACAGGTTTTGGTAATTGACAAACACAATTTATTCAAGTCAAGATCAAAGTGCTACAACGACAAACACGAAGACTTGAAGTGTCATTCCTTGAAGTATTCAAGAAGGTGCACATGATTTTATTGAAGTCCGAGACGTGTTCGGAGCGCCTAACAGAGGACTCGGAGGAGTAGAAGATTTCCGAAGACTTTTTATTTATTTGAGTCTTAGGAATTATTGTAAGGATGACAAAAATATCTTCTCTCCAAAATTTATTTTTATGAGAATTAAAATAAAAATTATATTTATTTTTGGAGTCAGTTGAAAAATCCTTTTAACTGTTCAAAATACATTTATTGTGTCAGTTACAAAAAGTGTGTCAAACATTTATCAAAATATTTATTTTGATATTATAAAGTATTTTTGGTAAGCAAAAATATTTTATTCAAATATTTTTCGTGTACATAATTTGACACACAAAATATTTTTTGGACTCACTTTTTACTCCCTTATTCAAATTTATTGAATAAGAGAAGGAGCATTCTCTGATTCCCGTTGTCTCAAACAACGAGTGTTACGCCAATTCTGCTCTTAATCGCAACTAGCTTGGGCCCTTTGTGTTTGCGCATTATTTCTTCTCTTAATCGATTATATTTCTTTGTTTAATTGATTAATCCTTCGATTATTGTTCAGCGCATTCAATTAATCGATTTTTCCTCTTTGCTTTAATCGATTAGTCTACTCAGAGCCTTCTAATCGATTAATCCCTTTGCATTAATCGATTATTTCCGCGCAGAAGGAATTTTGCTCAGACTGCATTAATCGATTATTGACAATGTAATAATCGATTTTTATGCTGCATCTTTTTTGCACAACTTCTTTTCCTGGACCAACGGATATATTTCTTCACGTCCTATTTAAACACTCTTCCTTGGTCATTTTTATCAAGAAGAAACACTCCAATACTCCCCATTCTTGAGGTGTTAATCCTCCATCAATCATTCCTCGAATTTATATTATTTTGAGAGAAATTTATTTGTTTTTAAGAGAGGTTTCTTGTTATCTATTAGAACTTTAATCATTTCTCATTTCTACTCTTTTGAGAGCTATTGTTCAGAGGTTGAAGAAGATTGTTCTTCTTGTTGTTCAAGACTTATGTGACTTAAGTCTTGGTTGTGAAGTCTTGTAGAGGGCATATCTACGAGCGGTTGTGACGAGGCTTGTGGGATTCAAGTTCTCGAGTTGTAAACAGTTTGTTAAGCACCCGTAAGCTTAACGGAAGTAGTGGTAACTTCGAGAGAGTCTGTCGGGGAACTGGACTAGCCACAAGGTGGTGAACCAGTATACATCGGTGTGTTCTTTGCCTTCTCTCTTTTATTTCCGCTGCACTTACGTTCATATTATTAATCCTGCGAAAATCCGTAAACATTCTCAACAACTCTATTCACCCCCTCTCTAGAGTTGCACGCCTTGTCTAACAATTGTGTGTGATTTCCTTGATGTATTCCTCGACGACCTTCTTGGCTTGCCACCATCGAGGGAGGTGGAATTCTCAATCGACTTGGTTCCGCAAATGGAGCTGATCTCTGCGACACCATACCGCATGCATGGCACCTGCGGAGGTGAAGGAGCTCAAGGCTCAGCTGTGAGAATTACTGGATAAGGGATTCATCAGGCCAAGCGTGTGTAACACCCTGTCTGCAGCCCCTTTCGGACTAAAGTATAGACTTGGTAATCATAAAATTTAAAACATTTCAAACATTTTTATTTATCTTCAATAATATTCAGTACATTAACATTAACAATACAAAGTGTTTAATATTGCGGAAGCGAATTAAAATATGTCACTTATCAATCACAAATAATTATTCCAATCTTTTGAAACCATTATTCGATTTGTCACATCCATCCTGACAATCTTTCCGCATCTGCCACCAAGAAGTCATCACTTCATTCTTTTTCTTTACCTGTGTGTAGCTAATAAAACATACTACACGCTCAGCGGTGAAGCTGAGTAAGGATATCTAATGCATCAAACATCCATATAAATTGAATCTCAATTCCTAATCAAATCATTTCATATCATGCGCATAATATTCATTTCAAGAGTTCATCATGCATTATTCAATTCGGGTCATTTCATAACATGTTCAATATTCAGTTTTAATATTGTCAATAGTATCCTTAAATTATTCTTAATCTAAGGCCAAATCATTTTCTAACCGGGCTCTTAAACTATGATTAGTTTAAGGCAGAACACAAGATTCGATGATCCATCTTACGAGTCTTATGGATCACGTTCCAACGAACAGTAGACTTATTTACCGTCGGGTGGGTGATATCCCAAAATGAGTGATCCTCAAGATGGTCACATTAGAGTTCTTTTGGATCTCGTATGTACGTTTCAACCCCAGATTACTAAATTGGTCACATTAGAGTTCTTTTAGATATCCTTAATAATCAGCATTAATTATCTAAATAGGTATATCTTAGAGTTCTTCTTGATACTCTTAACAATACACATTATTCTCATAATCATCAATATATTCATTTTTAATCATGACAATTAATAATTATTACTTTAATTAGAATATTCATTAAAGTCCGTGTAGGCCCTGTTAGTATAAAAGACCAGCGCTAGAGGGGGGGTGAATAGCGTTTGATCGTAGAAATCGCAGGAATTAAAAATTTAAAAGATAAGTAAAGAGAAGAGTAAGAGGCACACCGAATTTACCCTGGTTCACCACAACTTGTGGCTAATCCAGCCTCCCGAGAGACTCTCTCGAGCTACACTACTATCTCGTTAAGCTTAACGGTGCTTAACAAACCCTTACAACTTGAGAGCTCGAGTCACACGAACCTCAACGAATCCTTCGAAGGAAACAGCCCTTCCTTCGAATCAAACGAGAGATATGCTTTCTCTCAACGTGTCTTAGAACACAAATACACTCAAGAACGAGACTCTCTTTTAGAGTAGATATTGAGTAAACTAAGTACGCTCAAGAACAACTCAAACTTCACACGAATTGGCTCTAAAAAGCTATCGAAAAAGATGTTGTTTGAATGCAATGAAAGTAGGAGAATTGTGAAGTGAATTGATGAGAAAAGTAGACCCAAACACCCCTTTTTATAGTGCCAAAATAGGCTCCAGCGGACCAATACATTAAAGGGGTGATTGGCTTGATTTATGGGATTGAATAAATTTGGGATCTGCAGGATATTGTTTTCCCAGCGATGTATGGACCTTACCCATCGCTGGTAGGCCAAATTTCTTTCAGTTTTGAAACCAACGGTCACCTACCCATCGATGGGTACAAGCTTCCCATCGTTGGGTGAGAGGTTGACTTCCAAACAAGGAAAGAATCAACCTTAAATGACTTCCAATGGTCATGCCTTCCCAGCAATGGTTAAGCCTTCCCATCTCTAGGTTCCCATCGATGGGGTAGAGTCCCCATCGCTGGGTAAGGTTGTCTGCCTTGTGTTGATGTCGGACCAAGGCTTTAACAGCGATGGGTAGAACTTCCCATTGATGTTTGGCATGGTTCTGGAACTTGGTTGGGCTAAAAGACCGCTTACCCATTGATGGGTAGTTCTTCCCATCGCTGGGTGGGTGGTTAGTCAGAAGCCTATGGCTTTTGCCTTAACCACGGTCTAGCCAACCGATGCAAAAACCGACCGAAAAATCCAAAGTTCTCCAAATTAAAAAACCAAGTGTTGGATTTTTGACTCAACGATAGTAAGACTTGGTTTATTATGTGGATAATTATATGGGTTATCACTCCATGTTCTTTTGTTAGATTCACTCCTCAGCTTTTGCTGAGCGTGTAGTTGTTTTTGCTACACACAGGTAGACAGGACGGTACAGGTGCTAACCCTGGAGGACAGTGATGATGGGAGGATGGGTGGCGCACGGACGAGTTTAATAACTATAATCATTTTAATTAATTAATCATATGGGCATGAACTCACTATATGTCGTTTTACATATTTTGGACTTATTTATTTACTTCCGCTTTTACTCTGCATTTATATCACACACGTTTGGGGTTAACTCCCCAGCATTTATTTCACCAATCAAACCCAACCGTTTTCATATTAAATGCACATTAATGTTTTACGTTACGGACGGTTCTCGGACCGCCCATGTAACCCTACTGGTCCGTTGGGTCGCGGGTGAACCGGGTCCACGAAAGGCGGGTGTTACAGAGAAATTATGATCAATGCCGAGTTCGTCACATAAATCTGAGAATAGATTTCGTTCGAACTCTCCCCCATGGTCGTTTCTTATGGCTACAATGGTTGTTTCTTTTTCATTTTGAACTTTGTTTAGAAAATTTTTGAAAACATGAAATGCCTCACTTTTGTGAGTTAGAAACAAGGTCCATGTAAACCTAAAGTAGAAATCAACAATCACAAATGCGAAGTAATTACCACCAAAACTTTTCGTTCTAAAAGGACCAAAGAGATCCATGTGCAAAAGTTGAAGTGGTCTAGACGTTGAAACAACGTTCTAAGATTTAAACGAAGCCCGAACTTGCTTCCCCTTTTGACATGCATCACATATGGTGTCTTTTTCAAACTTGAGTTTCGGGATGCCAATTACTAAGTCTTGTGAAACCAATTTGTTCAATAGGTTCATGTTCATATGAGCTATCCTTCGGTGCCATAACCAAGTGTGAGGCACTTAGCAAAGCCGGAAGGAGATTTGTCTAAGTTAACCATATATATGTTATCGATTCTATCACCATGTAGAATGAGCTTATTGTCACTAAGGCGTTCTACCGTGCATGATTTTGAATCGAAGGTCACACGGTTTCCCTTGTCACATAATTGACTTATGCTCAAGAGATTGTGTTTAAGACCCTTAACTAGCAAGACATTATCTATAGAGGAGTCTTCGGACTTACCTACCGAACCGATGCCGATAATTTTTCCCTTGCTATTATCTCCAAAGACTACGTTTCCTCCTTTAGCAGGTTTGATTTCTAGGAACTTGGATGCATCTCCGGTCATGTGCTTGGAGCATCCGCTATCAAGGAACCAAAGTACACTTGACGCCTTCAAGCACACCTACAAAAATAATTTAATAAGATTTAGGTACCCAAGTCTTTTTGGGTCCTTGAGTGTTAGGTGCGAAGTGGTAGTGTGATTCATTTTGTGCCTAATGCCTATGCCTAGTAAAGCAAACGGGAGCTATATGTCCTACCCTATTGCAATAATGGCAAACTACATTTGGGTTGTGTATCCTCCTAGGTTGATAATAGTTGCTAGGAGGCCTAACCATATTCATCCTATTTTGGGAAAATATTGGTTTTTTAAAATTCTCTCTTCTAGGTGTCCTAGCATTATTTTGTCTATTTGAAAAATTATTTTTATGCACAAATTTATTTTGATAATTTTTCCTAGGTTGTCTAACATGCACATTTTCATTCCTAGGTTTTTGTCTAGGTTGTCTAGTGTCCTTAGATTGACTAAATTTTCTATTATCCTGATTTTTAACTTTCTTACGTTGAGCCTTAGGAGGTTGTCTAGGTGTTTGCTCAACGTTTTTATCCTTAGATTCGTTTTTATCAAAACCTAATCTTTCCTTAGAAAAATGCATAGTGTCAAGGAGTAAGTTAAGATATTTGTGTGGAGTATTGAATTTCTTAACCGCACTCTCAAGTTTTGCAACCTTTTCTTTTAAGGCTTTGCAAGATTCACATTCACTTGAAGAGCTTTCCGGTTTGTTAGCGCTTCTTTTGCCATAAAATTTATTTTCTTGTCTCAACTTTTCATTATCTTTTTCTAGTTTTTTAAAATCATTTTCAAGAGTTGAAAGACGTTTCTTTAATGATTTGTTGGTTTTAGAAGCGCTAACAAATTCATCGTAAAGCTCACGAAGTACTTCTTTCATCTCTTCAAAAGTGTAAGAGTCGGAAGAAGTGGTACATACCTCTTGTACTTCGTCGGCGTGGTCTTCGTGTGCCATGAGACAGAGGTTGGCGGCTTCTTCCTCTTCTTGGTCAGTTGACTCATCGCCGGAGTCGCCACCCCATGAGATATAGGCTCGTTGCTTTTTGAAGCCGGGTTTGTCCTTGCTGTTTCTGCCTTTTGGACACCTCGGCTTGATGTGGCCTATCTCGCCACACCCATAGCACTTCGGGGGACCGTCGTGCTTTCTTCCTTTGCGCTCAAATTCCTTCTTCATAAATTTGTGGAATTTCTTGATGACGAGTCCTAACTCGTTGTCATCATCGCTCGAGGCTTCTTCCACCATTTCCTTGGTTGCTTTGAGTGCTATACCTTTCTTCTTTTGTTCATCCAAAGACGGGGTTAGGATAGTGGATTCATAAGTTTTGAGATTACCTCTTAACCCGTCGATGGTGACTTGGAAACTCCGATGGATTCGTAGATTGCGTCGGCCTTTGACCTCCATTCGGGTGTGAGACTCCGCAGGATTTTCCTCACGAGATCGTTGTTGGCGTAGGTCTTCTTGAGGGCATAAAGATCGTTGATGATCTTGGAGAACCGATCGAATATGTCATCGATCTTTTCGCCTTCCTTCATCCTAAACATCTCGTATTTCTGCATTAGGAAGTCAATTTTGGCTTCCCGAACTTGGTCTGTACCTTCATATGTGACCTCCTGCTTGTCCCACATTTCTTTGGCGGTGGTGCAGCAAGAGATCTTGCGATAATCATCGGGGTTGACCGCGGAATAGAGCATGTTGATTGCCTTGGCGTAGTTCTCCACCTTTTTTATGTCTTCAGCATCAAATTCGTCCTCGGTCTTTGGGACGAGTTTTTCACCAACCTTCTTCATTGGTGTTTCTTCACCATTCTTGATGATCAACCACAACTGGAAGTTGGTTGAGCGGATATAAATTCTCATCCGCTTTTTCCAATATGTGTAGTTGGTGTCATCAAAGAGCGGTGACCTAGAAGTTGATTGACCTTCTCCAATTCCTGCATAAAGATTTCTAGAAGAAGAACCCATGATCGCTTTACTATCAAACGGTTAAGTTTGGACACGAGTTAGCCTCTAATACCAATTGTTAGTATAAAAGACCAGTGCTAGAGGGGGGGTGAATAGCGTTTGATCGTAGAAATTGCAGGAATTAAAAATTTAAAAGATAAGTAAAGAGAAGAGTAAGAGGCACACCGAATTTACCCTGGTTCACCACAACTTGTGGCTAATCCAGCCTCCCGAGAGACTCTCTCGAGCTACACTACTATCTCGTTAAGCTTAACGGTGCTTAACAAACCCTTACAACTTGAGAACGAGACTCTCTTTTAGAGTAGATATTGAGTAAACTAAGTACGCTCAAGAACAACTCAAACTTCACACGAATTGGCTCTAAAAAGCTATGGAAAAAGATGTTTTTTGAAGTAAAAAAAAAGGTGTTGTTTGAATGCAATGAAAGTAGGAGAATTGTGAAGTGAATTGATGAGCAAAGCAGAGCCAAACACCCATTTTTATAGTGCCTAAATAGGCTCCAACGGTCCAATACATTAAAGGGGTGATTGACTTGATTTATGGGATTGAATAAATTTGGGATCTGCAGGATATTGGCTTCCCAGCGATGTATGGACCTTACCCATCGCTGGTAGGCCAAATTTCCTTCAGTTTTGAAGCCAACGGTCACCTACCCATCGATGGGTACAAGCTTCCTATCGCTGGGTGAGAGGTTGACTTCCAAACAAGGAAAGAATTAACCTTAAATGACTTCCAACGGTCATGCTTCCCAGCGATGGTTAAGCCTTCCCATCGCTGGGTTCCCATCAATGGGGTAGAGTCCCCATCGGTGGGTAAGGTTGTCTGCCTTGTGTTGATGTCGGACCAAGGCTTTAACAGCGATGGGTAGAACTTCCTGTTAGCCTTGGTTTGCTAAGCCTCATGTTTTGATGTTAACAAACAATATAAGAGCTTGACGTTTGTTTAAGTGTTTCAGGTACAACAAGAATCCATTAAGATTCGGTTCTCAAAAATGAAGTCGAAACACTAAACTAGCGTAGAATTTAGGTAGAAACCGATGTAAGGATATGATTTTATATACCTATATTCACAAGTTCAAAAGCACTCACAAAATATGTTTAAAACCATTTTATAATCATTTTCAAACATCCAAAAGGTTTTAAACAAAATTGGAAATGATTTGGATAAAAATGAAAAAATTGTCAAAATGGTCATAAGGTACCTAGGTACCGTGAGGGGTACCGTAAGGGGTACCGTGAGTTAATCTGAGAAGGTACCCCCTACCGTCAGCACGGGACCGCCCTACCGTCTGGACGAGACCCCCCTACCGTAAGGGGTACCGTAAGAGATAGGTACCGCCAGAGAGTTTTGGCCTGAGAAGGTACCTAGCTACCGTACGGGACCTAGCTACCGTAAGTGCTGAACCAGTAAGAGGTCTGAACCATTAAGTGCTGAACCAATAAGAGGTCTGAACCATTAAGAACTAGTATATTGCTTAACTATTCAGAGGCAAATGTTGGATCAATTTAGATAAGAGCTCTTAACCATTCAGACTCTGTATAATACTTAACAATTCAGAGGCAAATCTCTTAACCATTCAGACATCTAAACCATTAAGAGGCTGAAACAAACAGTCTGAATCATTAAGTGCTGAACCATTCAGATATCTGAACTATTAATAGGCTGGAACAAACAGCCCCTAAGTCTTAATGTCAGGTGAATAGCTCTAATAAGTAATAAGGCTAAATTTTTATAAAATACGGAGTAATAAAAAGGGGGAAAAGTTCCCCCCCCCCCTTATTTTTTACTCCCTCCGTCCCGTTTTAAATCGCCCGTTTTGACTTTTGGGCATATTTAAGGAAAATGAAAAATAGAGTTGATTTTCTGAAATTGTCAATACTTTTTAGGAGGGATGATGATGAATGAAAATATAATATGGAGAAGATTGACTTATTTTAGAGGTAGTTTAGGTATTTTATTTTAAAAGTTTACGATAACAACTAACAGGAAACTTATCTTGGGACGGAGAAAAAAGGCAAACAGGCAATTTAAAATGGGACGGAGGGAGTATAAAAAAGGAAACTATTCTTATTTGATATAAGTAGGGGACAAGTCTGTTGCTATATTAATTATATTTTTAAAATTAATTTGGATTTCTTTTGTATTGCCCATTTTAAGTTTAAATTATTCTCCCGCATATCATTGCCTAATTTATTTGAATTAGCTACAACATTAGAGGCGGAAATAATCCCCCTCTAAATTTTTGCAGCTTATACGCGAAATGGATGTTGGGTGGTTCGCCAGAACCATGGTTTTGCTGGTCAACACCGAAAGCCGATGTCAAAAATTAAAGTTTCCCAAATTGAAATTCTAGTGTTGGAAAAACTTATATAATTTATTTTAGGTAGAAACCAATTCTAAAACTTAAAAACCACATCATTAAGGTAAAAACCACGGCTAGCAGAGTTTATGCCGTTTCACATGGTTTTTGCCAAAAGACCAAAAACAAAAGGTGGTTTTAACATGTTTTTGTTGGCAAACTATTTGGATGTGCCTAGAAGTAAAAAAATCATAAAAGCTTAAAAACTACTTGGTTGATTCGAACACCAAAACCAATGACGATAACCAGCGCCGAATGTTGAAAACTAACACCAAAACACGAAGGTTATAGTTTTTGAAAACAAACCATTTGGAAAACCTTTACATGTGTCCAGAAGCAAAAGGCAAAGATAAAAACCCAAAAACTGTTTGGCTAATATCAAACGCTATTCACCCCCCTCTAGCGTTGAGACTATTATTTAACAATTGGTATCGAAGCCTAACTCTCTTCCAGACTTAACAGTTTGAGAGGAATAAGATCATGGGCTCTTCGTCTAAAAATTTGTACGCTATAGGTGAAGGACAATCTACCTCAAGGCCACCACTTTTTGATGGCACCAACTACACATATTGGAAGGAACGGATGAGAATCTATATTCGTTCCACCAACTTCCAATTATGGTTGTGTATCAAGAATAGTGAAGAGGTACCTATGAAAAAGGTAGGAGAAACCACGGTTCCAAAGACCGAAGACGAATTTGATGCCAAAGACATCAAATAGTCGAAAAATATGCAAAGGTCATATAAAAATGCTCTATTGTGCAATAAATCATGATTACTACAGGAAGATCTCTTGCTACTCAACCGCCAAAGAGATGTGGGAAAAGTTTGAGGTAACCTACTCCAACAAGGATCTAGTGAGAAAGATCTTGCAAAGCTTGACTCCCGAATGGCAGTTTTGACCAGCTTGTTAGTACAAAGAAACACCCACTTATGTTTAAACTTGTTTTTTTTATTTCTCCGTTTTGACCAGATTACTAAAAAACTATACATCACCTATTATAAATATCTCCAAATGACTTATATACCATTTAAGTCATTTTATCTACACGGATTTTTTTAAACTTATAAGCAGCTTATAAATAAAAAAACTACTTATAAACAATAAGTCAATAAGCATCAGTACGGAGAAACATCCACTAATTAAATGGAAATTGTAATGGATATTAATATAAAATTATTGCATTAAATTTATCTTGTTGAAAATTAAACAAAAACAAATAAATTTATTGTATTAAAACACAATATTATTTTTAATAATTGATGACCCAAATACATTAAATTTGATTAAAAAAATCAAACTGGCAAAAGTGTAAAAGGAAATAAAATACTCCCTCCGTTTTAGAAAAAATATCACAATTTAATATTAAAAAATAGCAATTTTTTTAATTTGTGTGTGCTTTTATTGACTATATGGTAAAATAAAATATTTTTATCACCTATTATTTTGTGATAGAACTTTTGACAAAAATTTTAAATAATATAATTTTTTTATTTTATTTTCCTATACTAATTTTTAAATAAAATAAATTTTAAAAAAATTAAAATTTCATTTCCTGTTACATAATGTGATATAAAGAAAAGTAGATCTTAACGCCAAAGAAAAGGGTGTGACACGGGACTTGTTTGGTGGCGGTCGAACGCCAGTTTGCACTTGTGTGCAAAAGCAAACCAGTTCGTTTTTAAATAAAATTCTCTCATCCCATGCGCTTTAAATGATTCACTCACCTTAATAATCCTTATAGAGAAGAGGAGGGCAACCAGCAGCTCTGGATGAAAAACAATTCCAAATAAATTTAAAAATTAGGATGAAAAGCAGCCTAGTTCTATCTATGGTTTCATGAAAATGATACGGCACAAATAAAAATCACACTTAAAAGCTAACTAGGTGAGAAAGTCTTTAATTACATAAATTCTTCACCAGGTGTAGGACTCTTACCCTGAAATCATCCGTAATATTCAACCCCCAATAAAGCCCAACCACCTTGTTGGTCACAAGTAGTTTCACCATGCCACCACTCCAAGTTGGCTCTGATACTATTAATGCAACACAAAAGAGAGCCACACTCCAAAAGTTTATTTTTTAAAGTTTAAACTCTTAACTTTCAGTTTCTTCCAACTTTTTCTAGTTTCTTTTCGTTTCTTCCAGTTTTTTTTTATTTTTTTCTAATTTCTTACAAATCCATCCAACTTCTTCCAATTTTTTTCAGTTTGTTCCACTTTTTCTACTTTTTCCAACTATTGTCAGTTTCTTCAATCTTTTTCTACTTCACAAATGACTTTAAAAATGATGTGTTTTTCAGGTATTATTATTACTATTATTACTATTATCATTATTATTGTTATTATTATTAATATGTTCATAACTATAGCTTATTTTTCAATTTTTATTTTTTCTCGTGTCACTTTTTGTGATTCACACTCATTATTATTTTTCTTTCATTTTAATATGAATAATTCATGCATTATACTAGATTGTTGTTTAATATCAATAATTCAAAGTACAATTTTTTGGGAGAAATTGTTTTAAATTTAGATGACACTAAACGGTATTCAAAAAATTAAGAACATTTTATTAATCTAAAAATTAAGAAAAAACATCAATACTTTAGATTAAATAACAATAATTATATTCACCCTCTATCCCAATTGAATGCATGCACACGATTCACATAGTCAAATTTTATGCACACAATAATAATAATATTATTAATAATAATAATAATAATAATAATAATAATACCCAATAATAATAATGTTCATAATAACAATAACAACAATAAAAATTATAATAAGAATCATATATAAAATACATTTAAATAACTTTTTTGAAAATCCTTCTAATTTTTTCTATTGTTTTCCAATTTCTTACAGGTTCATCCAGATTTTCTAGATTTTTCCAATTTCTTTCGATTTTTTCCAGTTTCTTTCAACATCCAGCTCTTTTTTTCAGCCCAAAAAAACAAGTTTCTAAAGTGAGAGAAACATTGGCTATATAAATCCCCCATTTGAAAGTTGGACAACCTGCCGCCCTGAATGATGTTTCTCGCCAGTCTTTCTAGAATCAAACCCCAAAAGCTGCAATTTTCATATATGATACATGAAAAATGCTAGGGGTACACCAAAGGTGTACCCCATTTGTCCCCCACCCCCTCCATTACCACAAAAATGGGCAAAAATTTTAAAAAAAAATTAAATAAATAAAAAGTAGATAAAAATGAATGGTGGAGAAGGGGGTGGGGGACAAATGGGGTACACATTTGGTGTAACCCTAGCATGGCTCATGATACATCTCTAATGCGAAGAAGTGGGGGGGGGGGGGCAGGGGGGTTCTAAACCACCAAACCATGTTTCTGGTCCAACTGAGACTACGAAATTTGTAAGGTTGAACAAAGGTGATTGATTAGGTCACCAAATGTCTTCTTACTCTCATGAGACTTGTGCATTTCTATCTTTAAGCAGAAAGGTGCGCTAAGGAAGGTAATAAACACTTATCTTAATTCCATATATATATATATATATATATATATATATATATATATATATATATATATATATATATATATATATATATATATATATATATATATATTGCATTTACCCTACCACAAGGTGGGGATAAATAGTGAGATTAAAAGGTAGGAAGAGAAAAAGGGGGGACAA